CAGCATTTTAACGTTGCCTGAAGTTTGTGTGAGACGAGGCAGCGCTCACCCTGAGCTGTCTGAGGGGATTTGTGTCGGGTCAGCGCCCCGGGGCCGTGCCCTGAGCTCGCCGTTCCTCAGCAACGAGCGCGGCGGCGCCCACCCGGGCTCTCTCTCTCTCTCTGCTTCCTTCCTAGATGGTGTCCTATTCCACGGTGCTGATGGCCATCAGCAAGGTACGGCTCCGCCAGCTGCTCCCCGAGGGTTTTTCTCTTTACCTGAGACCCGCGGATCCCTTTCCTGCCCCGCCGCTCTCCCCGAATATAGGTCAAGTGGAAAGTGACAGCCTGCGCTGAGTCAGCAGCGCGCCAGCCCCGTCGTGGCCCTCTGGGGACAGCCCTGCCAGTGCTTCCAGGCACAACCACGCTTTGTGGGTGCTAAAACCTCGTGTGGGGCTCCTGGTGGGCTCCTGCCCCACGGCACCTTTGTGTAAATCCCACCTGGGTGCTGGGAGCGGCTTCCCGAGCTGCTGGGTGTCCCCGTGCCACTGCGAGGGGGAGGAGGACACCCCAAAAACACGGTGTTTGGGGCTGCTCCGTGGGCTGCATCAAGCCCTCCACCCTCCCTGCACCTCCTCACAGCACCCCCAGGTTTTTAGGGAGAGTTACAGAGAGGGGGGAACAATTTTCCTCCCCCCTCTTTGCGCTCACAAAGACGAGCAAAGCGCCGGCGGCCGCGTGGCGTCATTTTGGGGCTCCGCACCCGACAGCGATTTCGGGGAGCCCCTGGGCAGGGCCCGGCACCCCTCCAGGGCTGTCGGGGTGGCAGAGGCAGAGTACAGCCGGGCTCTGCCCGTCAGAGAAGCGCTGACCTTGACGGCAGCAGCTTCCTCCTTCAGAGCAGCGTGGGCTCGGCGCAGACCCGCGGGCCAGCTCCGGCCCGGCAGGGCGGCCCCATCTGCTCCACCGAGATGTCAGCGGCGCCTCTGCCGTCCCCGCGGCCAGCCGGGCTGTTGGAGCTCGTTGCCAAGCCCCGCCGAGCCGGGGGTGGGCGCGGGGGGCTGGCACCGAGCCTCTGCTGCCTCAGCGGGGGGCTGCAAACGGAGCTCCGGGCCCCCACGGCTCCTCGGGGAGGGCAGCTCACAAAACGCAGCCCGGTCCCCGCTGCCCCGCGCTCCCGGTGCTTTGGGCCACCCCAGATGGCCACAACCCGGCCAAGGGACAGCCCTGCCCCTGTTTCTGTTTGTTTGGGTGTCCCACGCCTGTTTTTTGGAAGTGCTGCAGCCCGGCACCCCCCTTTTTCCTCTTCCCCACCTTCTGAAATCTCTCCTTGTTCCCTGCTGCAGTTCGATGACTTCTCCCGGGACCTGTGCGTGCAGTCGCTGCTGGAGATCATGGACATGTTCTGCGACCGCCTCAGGTACAGCACAGCCCTGCCATGACCCCCACGAGCCCCAAACTGATCTTGGGGTGCCCACCTTGGCCCTATTCCCCCTCCATCTCCGTTCCCAAGCTGCTGCCCCAGGCTGGGATGCCGTGCGAGTGCCAGCGTGGGCAGAGCAGGAGGGGGGTCTGAAACCCCCCCAACTGTGGGGCTGAGGCTTCTGCCACCACACTCCTGCCCGGTTTGGGTGGGTAGGGGTGGGTGTGAGCCCTGCAGCCCGTGGGTTTCTGTCCCTTCTCTGTTTTGTTTCTCTTGTGTGGCCTCGGTGGCTTCCCAGGGCCCCGGTTGCCAGCGCTCTCCGTCCTGCCCGCGCTGCCCCAGGCGCTGCGTGCAGCTGCCTTGTTTTGCTTCGTGCTCTTCCGCTGGTGTCGCAGGGCCCAGGGGAGACCAGACAATTCAGGCCACACAAAAAAAAAAAAAAAAACTTTTATAGAAAGCTGAGAAATCTTCCTGTTAACCCCTGCCAGCCTCTTCTGGGAGGCCGGCGCGGTGTGGGCGGGCGGGAGGCTGAAGGTAGCAGCTCTTCAATTACACGAGATGGAAGCAGCAGCGATGAATGTGCATCAGGCGCAGATGTTAACAAGGAGCTGTTGCTGGCCAACTGCGGAGCTGGCCGCTTAATCCAGTTCCTGCCTAATCTGATCCTCCGCTTAATTTGATCAAAACTTCTGGCCCCGATGATTTGTGCATCAGGAGGGGAAAGCGCTCACCTCTTTTTGCATTGATCAGCGCTCAGCCTCTCTTAGCAAGATAATTTGATTACGGGCTTGGAAAGTTTCCCTGCAGTTGAGTGGCCAGAGAGGAGCCTGCGCTGGGCAGGCTTTTATTTTTATTTCCCCTGGCGTGGGGGAGAAGCTCGTGGGCTGAGCGGGTTGAGGTCTGCAGAGGGGGAGCTGGGAGGCAGCGGGCACGCCGGGCTGGGCGCGTGGGACGTGGTTTGGATCCCCAGGGTGCCCCGTTTCCGTGCCTGGGGCTCATTGGGGCCGTAGCTTGGCCCAGGGTGAGCACAATTCCGTTTTTTCCCCTTGCCAGCTGCCACGGCAAGGCCGAGGAGTGCATCGGGCTGTGCCGGGCGCTGATGAGTGCCCTCATCTGGCTCCTGCACTGCGCCGCCTTCTACGCCGAGAAGGTGAAGGAGGCGCTGGAGCAGGCGGCAGCCGAGAACCAGCTGAAGATGTGTTTGGAGCGGCTGGAGAAAATGCTGGGCAGCACCAAGAACCGCGCCCTGATCCACATCGCCAAGCTGGAGGAGACCTGTACGTCCCTGCCCCTGGTCCCGGGGAGCTGCCACCTCCCCTTCCCCCTGCCCAGCTCCTGCCGCATTGTCCCTGCGGCTCCCAGCCCCGTTGCTGTCACCGTCTCCTCCTTGGCTCCGTGCCACCCCCTGCCCCCTCCCCTCCTCGCTGCCCTTGGCAGAGGAGCAGAATTAATGCCAAGGCTGCGGGAGCCGTTCCCGGGCGCGCGGCGGGTCCTGAGCTCTGCCAGCCCTCCTGGCACAGCCCCGCGCCTCCTCTTGGTCCCTGTGCCAGGGAGCTGCTGGCCTGCACGCAGCCTCCCCCCCAGCCCGGGCGTGCAGAGGTGTGCAGACTGCAGCCCTCTGTGTGTCAGAGCCAGGCTGCTGGCTCCTCGTCCTGTCCCTGTCCCCCTCTAACCAACGCCTGCCCTCTCTCCGCAGCCTCGTGGAGCAGCGTGGAGCAGTCCCTCGTCAAGCTGGGGGAGAGCCTGAGCAGCCTCAGCAACTCCCCCCTGCGAAGCCAGGCTGACGACTGCATCTCCCTCATCAAGAGGTAGCTCCGCGCCGCTGTCCTCGCGGGCTTGGAGGGTAAAAGGGGGCTGAGCCCTCCTCCTGCCTCTCCCCACGCTGGCTCCGTGCCTTCCTGTCCCTTTCCAGCTCTGGCTCTTGTGCTGGCAGTGGGCTGGGGCTGCGAGAAACCCTGGAGTAGGGGACAGGGACTGGTGACCTGCCACCAAGGAATCCTACAGGGCTCCTGGGGCCATCCCTCAGCTGCTCCAGTGTGGGTAGAGCTGTCCTGTGTGCCCCAGGAGGTGCTTCCAGGCCCTGAGGTGTGGCAAGGGGACTTGGACGTGCCCAAAGGCTCTTGTGCAGGGCAGGGGACAATCCCCTGTGGCGACCACAGAGGTCTGGGGCTTGGCTGGGAAGGGAAAATGGGACAGGAGGAGCAAGGATCCGTCCCCACAAGGCTCAAGTAACCCTGCATTATTTCCCCCCCCCCCTCCAGCATCCCCACCATGCTCTCGGTTCACTCCGAGCAGCTGAACAAGACCGGCTTCCCCACCGTGCACGCCGTGGTGCTGCTGGAGGGCACCATGAACCTCACGGGAGAGACCCAGCCGCTGGTGGAGCAGCTGATGATGGTGAAGAGGATGCAGGTACACACGTGGCACCCCCTGCTCCCGCTCGGGGCGGCCTGGGGGAGGTGGAGCAGGGCCTTGCGGGGCGAGGAGGGGGCTGATCCCAGTCCGAGGATGTGGGGAAAGCTGAGGGGGGGATGTGTGAGCCCGTCAGCAGCTTTGCAGGGGGTGCAGGGCTTGGCTGCGGTCGGGGGAGTCGCGTTACTGTTCTCCCAGCACTTGGGGGGGTCCTGTCCTTGTGCCCTGCAGCGCATCCCCTCCCCGCTCTTCGTGCTGGAGATCTGGAAGGCCTGCTTCGTGGGCCTCATCGAGTCCCCGGAGGGCACGGAGGAGCTCAAGTGGACAGCCTTCACCTTCCTGAAGGTAGGACTTAGCCCTGGGGGGCACCCGGTGCCCCCAGCTCCTGCCTTTCCCTGCTCTCCTGGCCCTGCTCAGCACTAAAACCCGGCACAGCCACCAGTCCTGACCCCTGGTGTGCCCCTCGGGGGCCCCTGCTCACCCTGTTGGGACAGTGTGAGATGGCTGAGCCTGCAGGCAGCCCTCCTGCAGCCCGCTTTTCAGCCCAGCCCCACTTTGTTTTTCCTGGGACGTGGCGGGGGAAATGGGGGGCCTTTGAAGGATGCCACAGCCAGCTCCGGGCTCAGCAGTGAGCAGACAAAAAGGATCTGCATGTGATTCCAAGCTTTGACACACGCTCAGCCTGTGCCGTGCTCCTCTGCAGCCTGTCTGTCGGTCACATCGTCCCCCCCGTGTCTTTCAGATCCCCCAGGTCCTGGTGAAACTCAAGAAGTATCCCCAGGGGGACAAGGTGAGGCTCGGGGGCCCTTGGAGCTGTCGGCAGCGTCGCGTGCGAGCGGATGGTGCTTGTCCTGATCCTGCTGGTGCCCGGCCAAAGCTGGGCGAGGGTGGCTGGGGTGGGAAAAAGGGGCTGGGAGGGAAGGGCAGGCTGGGGCCAGCCCTCCCAGGAGCTGAGGGCTCGCCTCTGTGCACGGCAGGATTTCACCGAGGACGTGAACTGCGCCTTCGAGTTCCTGCTGAAGCTGACCCCGCTGCTCGACACGGCCGATCAGCGATGCAAGTGAGTTCCTGCATGCCCTGAGCTCGC